TTGCGGTACGCAGGCCTCTCACTGCTGTGGCCTCTCCCGTTGCGGAGCACAGGCTCCGGACGCGCAGGCTCAGCGGCCGTGGCTCACAGGCCCAGCCGCTCCGCGGCATGTGGGATCCTCCCGGACCGGGGCACGAACCCGTGTCCCCTGCATCGGCAGGCGGACTCTCAACCACTGCGCCACCAGGGAAGCCCCAAGATGGCCTCTTTGTTGTCCTCGGGGACCTCCATCCTCTCTCTTGGCTCTACCATCATCACAGAACACCTTGGGCTGCCCCCATGCCAAACCCTCTCCAGCCGATGCCTGCCCTGGGCATGCTGCCGTCTCTGCTTCTTACCACCCACTTGAGGCCCTGCCCACGCGGTGCTGATGCGGCTCCTGTGGTGTCCTCAGTATTCTGAGCTGTCCTCCCACCGAGGTAAGCAGGGCTCCCGAGCACCGAGCACCAGGCCTGGCCTGGCCTCAGCTGAGCCCGAAAGATGTCATGCATACTGTTGCCTTGGGGCTTCTGTACCTGCTGCTCCCAGGCCACATGGTTCACCCCATGATCTTTAAATTTCACTCAAGGGTCACCTTAATGAGGATTTCCCTGCCACCCTATTTTAAATTGCAAACCCCTCCCTTCCAGCGCTCCCATCCTTTCCACCATCTGACAGAATTTATTTTACTTATTTTATACGTCTGTCTCCTCTCTGGAAATGCCAGCTCCGAGAGAGCAGGGATTTAAAGTTTTATTCATGCTAAATCTCTAAGGCCTTAAAAGAGTGCTTACTACAGGTGCTGAACACACATTTGGTGAACCAACGGACAACGAATGAACGAAAAAAAAAGGCCTTTCCTTCTCTGCCGATGCTGTCGTCTTCATCTCAGTGTATGGTTTTCTTCTCATCTCTGACAGCTGTTCTGATGCATCTGTGGACTTTCCCTGGTGCACTGTCTGCCTTCCCGACCCTCTTCTCTTCCCACTTCTCTCTTCTGGTGACCTTGGTTGACCTTTTCTACCCCCAACCTTTACCTCTTTAGAGCCCCAGCCCCAGTCCAGATCCACCTACCTCCCTTCCCTCCCACATGTTTAAGAACTTGACCACCTCTGTGCCCTCCCAAAAAGGCCCTCTATCTGGGAGCTCCCCAGTGTCTGTTCCTTGCAGCTTTCTGTCTCAACCACTCACTCTTCCACTTAAACCTCAAGGAAATCCAGCCAATTCCATCTCCTAAGCATCTCTGAAACATCCTTCTTCTCTCCGGCCCTATCTGCATCACTCACACGAATGCAGGTCTCAACCAGTCTTAAGTAGCTCGAATCTGAGCCTGTCACTCTCCCACTGAATACCTTCCCAAAGCTTTTCATATAGTCCGTCTTCTCACCCAGGTCCTGAGGGCCTGCGTGCTCTGTCCCTCCACACTTGTCTGGCACTCCAGGCTCCAGCTCTTCGGTCTCTGTTCCTTTTCTCTACTTCCTCCCTCCTGGGAGTCCTCCCAGAACCCCAGCAGTGGGTAAGGTGGGCTCAGCTTTCCCCACTACTCCCCCCCATCGAGACCTGGGGGGTTGGGGCTACTCCTGTTCTCTTGCAGAACTAACACTATCCCGGTCCCAGTGAATCTTCACTCCAGGGCACTGACCATTCTGTCCTTCCACGGTGGCACCTCGGACCAGGGCTGCCCACCGCCGAGCTTCCTGAGGGTTGGCGAAGTGCAGGCTGAGAGTCCCAGGCCCTCCTGGTGGAGGTTGCAGCTCATGCTGGCTGGGGCCTCGGACGGTGTAGGAGACGGACTCCAAGGGCCACTCCAAACTGACCTGAGGAGAGGGAGAGTCTGGGCTCAGTGCCTCCCCCCAGCACATACTGCATGATGATCAAAGGAACACGAGGTAACATTTGCAGGCCACTTTCACTGTCCTGAGTCCTTTACACGTATTACCTTATGAAACTCTCACACTAGTCCTACGAAGGGAGGTACCAGCATTATCCCCATTTAACACACAAGGAAACAGAAGCAAAGAAAAGGTAACTGCTCAAGAGCACGCAGCTGGCGAATGGAAGGGCATGGCCTCGGGTTCAGCGGCCAGCTCCCGCCGCCCCGACTCACCGCCCCGGGCCCCGCGCCAAGCAGCTTCAGCCGGAAGCGCCCTGGTCGCTCGGGGTCCGCGCTCAGCTGCAGCCTCCGCAGCTGCGCCTCTGCGTCCGGCCCCGCGCCCAGCGGCCTCACCGCGGCGTGCACGGCCAGGAGCACCGCAGCCGAGCCACGGTCCGAGGCCGCAGCCGCGCCGTCCGCCGGCGGCGCCATCTCCGGTCCGGTCCCGGCCCGGCCCCACGAGCCCGCTTCCGTGGCCTCGGGCCGCTGAGCGCCTCCACCGGCCGGAAACTGGGACCGCGAGCCTGGGGTTCCGGGCGCCGCCCGAGCGTTGGAGCCGTCTGACCCTCCCGCTTCGCCCACGATGGACATGGCCAGAGGGTCTTCGGACTCCGGCGGGCGAGGCTGGGCTTGGAGGCCTGTACTCTGGGCAAAGCGTCAGGGACTGAAGAACCGGCCACAACTGGAAGGCCCTAGAGGCTCGGCTGGGGGCTGCAGCCCAACGGCCCTGTCGACCCCCGCGTCTGGCGGGAGCCGGACGTACTCCCAAGCTCCTTCTGGGCCGCCGCCCGCCTCTCGCCGCCCACCGAACACTCAGTTGCCTCCTCTAGCCCACACCTACAGCACCCGGGGCGGAGCCGGCGAGGGGCCGCGACCAATGAACGCCAGGGAGGAAGGCGGGTTCGCACGGCCGAGAAGATGACGGACATGCGCCACAGCCAGTAGGAGTGGAAGACAGGACTGAGCGGCGGGTACTGCCCCCAATGGCTCTGCGAGCTCCCGGTCCCGGCGTCTGGAGCGGGCCATTCAGACGCGTGGGGCCGGGCCTGGCGGACGCTTGTTGTTGTCCGGCCCGGGGAGGTAGAGGTCGTTCGCTCGCTTGCTCGGGCCTTCTGTGGCGGTCGGCGGGCAGGTCGGTCGCGATAGTCGGGCGCCGTGCACGGGCGAGGCTATGTCGCGGTGGCAGATCGGATGGGCCGGCGGGGCCGGGAGTAACGGGACGTCGCTGCGGAGCTTCTTTCCCCGGATACAGTGCGGCCCGAGCGGAGGCCGCGGCGCCGCACTCCGGTCCTGAGGCGTCCGCGCTACCCGGGGCCCGCACCGCCTTCTCACCCGCACCGACGCCAATCGACCTGACCCTGCCTGGTCCGGTCCGGCCCGATTGAGCGCAGAGTAAGCAGGTAGGGGTACGCCCTGTGCCCGGCGCCGACTCGGGCCCTCCAGAACTACAGCCCCCAGCAGGCTTCGCGCTGGAGCGCACGCGCGCCTCCCGAGGCGCACGGCTTCCTGGGACTTGTAGTTCGCGCGGCTTGGCTGGGGTTCCCCTTAGACCCGGCAGACGCTGCAGCGCCCTAGCTGCCCGGCTGACAGGCCCTTCGGGGGCCGCGGGGCCTCCCTCCGCTCCCTGTCGTACTTTCGGAGAAAAACGGAGGAGCTCACTAGAAAGCAGCCTGCAGAACAGGAAAGAGCGCCGCGTCCAGGTGACGGCAGGGCCGAGCCCCAGGTGATCTGGTTCCTAACTGGGTGCGGTTCTTACCCGGGCTGAGGATCCCGGCCGGAGGGGCACTGCAGGAGTCACGTCCCTTCGCGGGCTCGCAGGGCCCCCCTTGGTGGGTAGGGCTCTTGTGTCGAGATGGGGGGTGTTGAGGGAGAGACTAACCCAGCAGCCCCGGGGTTAGCAGGATCCCCGGTGGGTCCCCCAGCCTGGCCCAAGAACTCCTGTGAGGTGCAAGAGGTGTGGCTGATCTGGGGCCTGGACATGCCGCTCTCATCACCTCTCCCGCCAGTGCTGAAGGCCTGGGAGCAGGCTGCAGGAGGGACCCAAGTTGTTTACAGCGGCGCCACTTACTGGGAGGAGGGCTGAAGGTGGAGCCCCAAGGGCCAGACACCCATGGACTGACCTGCATCCTCAGGTAGCCGTAGCCCTTCGGAGCACAGGACCTCCTCCCCGGGGACATGAAGCTGTTGGAGAACTCCAGCTTCGAGGCCATCAACTCGCAGCTGACCGTGGAGACAGGAGATGCCCACATCATTGGCAGGTGAGGCCAGGGCTCTGGGGCTGGCGTCTCAGAGGTCACTCTGCCCTGTCTCTGGGTTGAGCCTGCGGGGGTGGCGTGCTTCATGGTTGTGCCTGCGTCTCTAGGATTGAGAGCTACTCGTGTAAGATGGCGGGCGACGACAAGCACATGTTCAAGCAGTTCTGCCAGGAGGGCCAGCCACATGTGCTGGAGGCACTGTCCCCACCCCAGACCTCGGGCCTCAGCCCCAGCAGGTGAGCCGGGCAGGGCCTGCCCACTGTGCACTGGCAAGCGGGGCAGTGCCAGGCTGACGCTTCTCTCTGTGCAGACTGAGTAAGAGCCAGGGTGGCGAGGATGAGGGCCCCCTCAGCGACAAGTGCAGCCGCAAGACCCTCTTCTACCTGATCGCCACGCTCAACGAGTCCTTCCGGCCGGACTACGACTTCAGCAGAGCCCGGAGCCACGAGTTCAGCCGGGAGCCCAGCCTCAGCTGGGTGAGGGTCGGGTCGGGGAAGGGACCTGTAGGCCCACAACCATGCTTGGTGTCCTCCCTAACTCACAGGGGCTCGGCCCGGTTCATGCCTGCTGCCCTGGGTCCTCGTCAGCCCTGACTGTGACCATCCTAGGTGGTGAACGCAGTCAACTGCAGCCTGTTCTCCGCTGTCCGCGAGGACTTCAAGGCCCTGAAGCCGCAGCTGTGGAACGCGGTGGATGAGGAGATCTGCTTGGCTGAGTGCGACATCTACAGGTGAGCTGGCGTCCCTGCAGGTGGGTCCTGGGTGGGTGGCACTTGGGACCTCACACCACATCTCGCCCCACACGCCCCAGCTACAACCCAGACCTGGACTCAGATCCCTTCGGGGAAGATGGCAGCCTCTGGTCCTTCAACTACTTCTTCTACAACAAGCGGCTGAAACGGATCGTGTTCTTCAGCTGCCGCTCTATCAGGTTGGCTGGCACCTGTCCACCTCCCTTCCTTTACCTCCCTGTTTGGCTCACACACCGTTTCCCCAGCCTGGCCCACCCCATTCCTAACTTTGTCCTCCCCAGACACCCTCCCTGGGGTTAGCAGCAGGCTGGGGGTAGGCGGTTTTAAGACTGGTCCCCCCACCCCCAGTGGATCCACCTACACTCCGTCGGAGGCAGGCAATGAGCTGGACATGGAGCTCGGGGGAGAGGAGGAGGAGGAGGAGAGTGGAGGTGGAGGCCGTGAGGGCGGCCACGAGGAGACCAGCACCATGGAAGAGGACAGGTGTGTGACGGTTGCAGTGGCCTCCCTCCCTTCAGCCTGGGGTGTGCAGGGCAGGGTGGGGCCCCCTCTGCCTGGTCTCCTGAGTGTGGGCTCCTCAGAACTCACTGTGTGCCACCCGTTGCTCAGGGTCCCGGTGATCTGTATGTGAAGAGGAGGAACAGAGGCCCTCGCTTCACCCAGCTTCAAACAGTGCCTGGACCTGCCCACCTGAGGGGCCCCAGGGCCTCCACAGCTGCTGGCCAGATCCTGGCGCTGCCACAGCACCAGCGCCACTCCAGGCCACACCTGCCTAGCCCTTTGGCTGTAGCCTGTGGATGTCCCCTCAGCCCCACAGGCTCCCGCTGCCCACGCTGTGGCTGGACTGGACAGCAACGGCACAGGGCCTGGTGGGAAGAGCCACTGCCCCGCCCAAACGAACTGACACGGGCAGGGACAGCTGGACCACAGAGTTTATTTTTGTATTTTGTGCAGGGTCAGGCCCGGACCTGCACACTCCAGCCCAAAGGGCCGGAGACCCAGCAGGCGGTCCCCAGGGGTCATCCGCCCGCTTGTACTCCCCACCTTGCCCATCGGGCAGCGTGCACTGAGTGTCACTTTGCTGCAGCTGGTTTGCTTCCAATAAAAGTTTCTGTGACTCAGTGCGCACGGAGGCTCATGAGGCGTGGGGGCGGGGCCTGCGTCGAGGGCGGGGCCTGCTGCGTCCGGTATCCTAGCAACGGTCCTAGGGGGCTGTTGAGCCGCCTGGACCCCGCGGCTCCTGAAATGGAGCCAGAAGTGTGGGACGCAAGCAACCCCTTTACCATAGAAGGCGACCACCTGATTCCAGACCTGGACCTGTATGATGCCGACATCTACGACGTCCCGGACCCAGGACTGCTCAACGAAGAGGATGGTGAGGTGGCCCGGCCTCGACCCCCAGATGGCCCGCTTGGCCGCAGGCCTCACTCAAGCGCTGGTTCTGTCCTCTGGGAATGCAGCACTCCCCGGGCAGTCCCCTAACCTGGCAGGCGCCTCAGGAGGGGCCTTGGCTGCCCACGACCTCCAGGGTTAGGGGCCCAAAGGCCACACCGACAGGGCTTCCGCTGCCGGTTCGCAGAGTCATCGTTTAAGGAGGCGGCCCCACGGCTTTTTACCAGCAACTCTCGGTGGCAGAATGTGACCCCGAGCGCCCGTGCCCGCCAGCTGTGGCTGCTCCTGCGTACAGGCCTCCAGACTTTTGTGGAAAAGGTGCGGCTTGCCCATGGCATCCGTCTCAAGGCCTCTTTCCGGCCCGGCTCTTCCCCTAGGGGTCCCCTGCAGGACCCCAGCCCAGATCCTCTTGGCTCCCCTAGGTGGGTGCTGCCTACACCCCCGCCCCCCAACCCCTGGCCCCCGCCAAGTTTACGGCAGGCTTGCTGGTCCCGGTCCGCAGGAAAAGAGAGCCGAGCTGCACGTGGCGCGCTTGACGCACGGGCTAGAGCTGCTGCGCCGCCTGGAGGTGGCAGCCGGGCTGTGTTCGGTGGCACAGGACCCCATGGGCAGACGCTTCGTGGTGCTGGACGGTGCCGGCCGCCTGCACCTGCGCAGAGAGGATGGCTGGGCACAAGAGAAGCTGCTAGCTCCGGTCGCGCTTACAGGGCTGGTGGCACTGCCGGGCGAGCTGGGCACTGTGGGCCGCTTTGTGGGCTGGGGCCCAGCGGGGTTGGCCATCCTAAGGTCCGACCTCAGCCTGCTGTGGCAGAGTAAGCCAGTGGAGCGCTGGGTGCCGGGCCGCGAGCCAGTCTGCTGCCTGCCGGTGCCCGACGCCGGGCTGCTGCTGGTGGCGGAGGCGGGCAGAAGCCTGGCGCTCTGGAAGTTCCGTGCAGGGGGTCGCTGCCTGGTTCCCCATGGGTCCCCTCTGTGGCTGCCGCCAAACCTCTCGGGTGCGCTTGCGCGTCTGGCTCTCGGGCCTCAGCATCCCCCTCACGTCCCACGCTGCTGCGCAGCCTGCGGCTCAGCCGTGCTCACCTTTGATCTGCACACCTGGGCTCTCACAGATGTGCGTCGGGATCTGCACAAAACGTGAGGAGGGGCCCAGGGGCTGGTGGGAGAGGGGGAAATCATGAGGTGAGTCCGCGACACAAATCCGGTCGTGGCAGGGGTGCCGGCGCGTGCGCACGCGCGCGCACACACACACACACACACACACTGCAGTCCTGAGTCCACGGGCCTCCCTTTCCCCCCTCAGCACCATCTCCGACCTGGTGTACTGTAGAGAGGTGGGGGCCATGGTGACAGCTTCCCGGGACAGCACGGTGAAGGTGTGGGAGGCTGACTGGCAGATCCGGATGGTGTTCGTGGGACACACAGGTGTGCCGTGTGTGGCTATTGAGGCCTGGTCTCCCCTCACCCTGGGCACAGCCCTGCCTTTGAGAGCTCCGGGCACAGGATCTCCACGGGCTTCTGGCCAAGCTTCTCCGCCCTGGTCATGACCCTGACCGATGGCTCCCCTTCCCTCAGTCCCTGGTGCGCAGGAGTGACCCGAGCCCCTCCCGCAGGCCCGGTGACTGCGGTGGCTGTGCTCCCGAGCACGGCCCTTGTGCTGTCGGCTTCTCAAGACGGGACGCTGCGCACGTGGGACCTGCAGGCAGCGGCGCAGGTGGGTGAGGTGGCGCCAAGTCGCCGGGGCCCGAGCGGGCCGTCGGAGACCGTGAGCCATCTGCTGGCTCCCGCCGGCCCCGGCTGGCCCTTGCTCGCCTTGCGCGCCCGCAGCGTGGAGCTGTGGCGCGTGCGGGAGCTCTACTCGCCATTGGCCCAGCTGTCGGCGCCGGTGCTCCACCTGCAGGTGGCGCCGGCGCTGCCCTCGCCCATGGCCCCGCAAGCGCAGCTGCCCACGCGCCTCGTGTGCGCCTGCGCCGACGGCTCGGTCTACCTGGTGTCGGTCTCCAGCGGACACACCGTGAGCGCGCTTCTGCTGGAGCCTGAGGACTGCGCGGCCGCCGTGGCCTACTGCCTGCCCCGCGAGGTGCTGTGGCTGCTGACGCGCGCCGGGCACCTGCTGTGCGCCAACGCAGCACGCTGCCCCATGCGCGTGCTGCACCGCCTGTGCCCGCCGCCGCCCCCGGCGCCCCGGCCTTGCTGCCTGCACCTTTACAGCCACTTCACGGACCCCGGGAGCGCGTTTGCCGCCTGGGAGATAGTGCGCCAGTACAAGGGCGAGCTGTGCCGCAGTGACGTGGCCGGGGCCTGGAAGGACAAGAACCGGTGGGTGCCGGAGCCAGCCAGGGCTGGGCAAGGCGGCCGGGTCCACACCAACAGGCTGTGGTCACCCATAGGTACCTGCTCGTGGTGGGGCACACTGATGGCACCCTGTCCGTACTTGAGTTGAGCTCCTCGAAGACGGTCTTCCGTACGGAGGCGCACGGCCCAGGCCCCGTCACCGCCATTGCGTCCACCTGGAACAGCATCGTGTCCTCCGGTGGGTACCTCTCCTCCCTCCACGGCCGGCCTGGGAACCCCTTCCCTCCCCAAAGGCCCCACTGTGGCTCCCGTCCCCACAGGGGGAGACTTGACCGTGAAGATGTGGCGCGTCTTCCCGTATGCCGAGGAGAGCCTGAGCCTCCTGCGCACCTTCTCCTGCTGCCACCCAGCGCTGGTGCTCTGCGCCCTCGGGAATCGCATCACCGTGGGCTTCGAGGACCTGAACAGCGCCACCTATGGCTTGGTGCAGTTTGGCCTGGGCAACAGCCCACGCTTCGATCACCGGCCCCAGGACGACCCCACGGACCACATCACCGGTGAGCGGGCAGGGCAGAGGTGAAGTCCGGGCCGCCAGATGGCTCTGGCCCCTGACCCTGAGTCCTGGCCCCCCAGGCCTGTGCTGCTGTCCCACACTCAAGCTGTACGCCTGCTCCAGCCTGGACGGCACCATCGGCATCTGGACCGCGGAGAACCGCTTGCTGCGGTGGGCGGGGGGTGGGAGAGGGGTGGGGGCTTGCCTCTGCTGCTGCCTCCGTGTTCTGTTCCAAGGAGCAGGGCCAGACTGTCGGTCTGAACAACCCTCCAGGCTCCTGCAGCTAAACGGTGCCCCTCAGGCCCTGAGCTTCTGCAGTAACAGCGGGGACCTGGTGCTGGCCCTGGGCTCCTGCCTCTGCCTGGTGGCCCACAGGCTCTACCTGCCCACATCTTACCTGATTAAGGTGTGCACTGAGCACAGGTAGGCGGGGTGGGGCTGCTGTGGGCAGACCAGCCACCGAGGCCAGGGCTCCAGGCTCCTTTCCCCTGCTCAGAAGCTGTGCCAGGATGTCCCTGATGTGGTGGATGATCCTCCACTGCCGCTGACCAGCCAGGAGTCGCTGACCTCAGCCCAGCTGCAGAGGCTTGCCAAACTGTGCGGGGTGGCCAGCCTCAGGTCTGCTGGCAGGCCCAACCGAGCCGTCCCGGAGGCCCCGACCTGGCTCCCCTGGGTCAGGGCCTGGCCGAGTGCTCCCAACCTGAGACCCCAGGGCTCCCAGGCCCCTTGGCCACCCACCGCAAGCCCGTCCCAGTGCCGGCCTTCCCACTCCTGGCTGTTTGTGGTTCCCCACCAGGGGCCTGGCCACCACCCCTGGGTCCCTGTCCCAGCCTCTGCCCTATCCCACTGGTAATGCCACCCAGTGTCCCACCTGTGTCCCTCCCTGTCTGCAGCGCAGCCTCATCTTTCATCCATTGCCAGACGGCCACGCCTCAGCAGCCAGTGCTGGAGAAGGTGGGGCGGCTCCTGACCCCTTCTCCACCTCAGGGACCCAGCCCTGCCCCCCAGCCCCGGCTCGGGCCCTTCCCCTTCAGTCCCTGGGGCAGGCCTGGGATCCCTGTGCTTGTCTAGGGGCACGCAGCAAGGCTCAAGGAAGAATGCGCTGACCCCTGACCCTCACCCCAGGACTTGGAAGCCTTCATTGCCCGGGACCAAGACCTTCAGCAGCTGAAACTGGGGCTGGTGGACCCTGCAGCCCGGCGCCCCCCCTCCTGGCAGCAGTGCCAGGAGGCCTTTGATAACTACCTCCATCTGATTTATGGCCCTGGTCTGCTGGTGAGTGTGGGGCCTCCCCAGTCCCTCCCTTCACCCGGAGCCTCTGACACTGCCCGTCTGCCCTGCCCTCCCTGCCAGGGCAGGTATTCCGGAGGAGAGTCCCAGCAGTGGAGCACCGTGACCCTCACAGTGGAGAGACAGACCTGGGACGTGTGCGCCCTGCCCAGAGATGTCCCCGATCTCAGGGGCGTTGAAGCCTCGCCACCACAGGATCTTGGGACCCTGGGCCAGCGCTTTGCCCCTCCCCCCACCACCCACCGGAGGTTGCACAGCAGAGCATCCCAGGTGAGGCTTACCACCACTCCCACCCCTCTGCCTTCACCTCATGGTCCCCACCCCACCCCCTGGCGACTCCTTCCACCCCAGCTGCTGGCCCGCTCCTCCCCGAGCCACGAGCTGGGCCTTAGTCTACACCTGCAGCTGCAGTGGGAGCGGCTCCACGGGGAGAAGCCTGTGGCCCCGGATCCACTGTCCTCCCACCTGCAGCGCAGGGTGAGGGGCCCAGGTGGGTGGAGGCTGCCGCCCGAAGGCAGAACTGCAGGGACACTGGAGTCCAAACTCGGCTCTGAGCCCTGTCCCATCCCCAGATCCCCCTGCTGCTGAAGAGGCGGCC